GTGTTTAGAAATTAAATTGAGGAAATAAAGAGAATAAAATCAAATCATATACCACTGTCTGACCCCCCATAATCCTGCTAGTTTTGGAATTCCTAATTTAACAGTTATCTTAAGCGAACAACAAAACACATCTAGATTCATGCCAGAGAGAGACAAGCTAATGCAGTTGTAATCTCTCCACCTGGTCATACTTGTACTTTCACTGCTCAGCTGAGCAAGAGAATTCACAACAGATCTCACATCAATGGGGTATTCCAAACCCTCCATGATAGGCATGCACTATGTATGTAGAGAAGTGGCAGTGGATTGACAGAGGAAGAAATGGAGGACAAGGCATCTTCCAATACAAAACTAGTCACAGGTACATACTTAAAGTGATGGCATCACAGAGAGGAGCAATCCTCTTTCCCAGATACATACCTTCCCAGATTTCCATTTGATCTCAGTTGATTTTGAAGAAGGGTCTCCACTTTCATTGAGGTGAAACTCTTTGGAGAGAACTTTATTTTCAAAGTATGGATTCTCATCAAAATACTGCAGAGTTGAAAGCAAAGAGTTAGAACCCACATCATGTAAACACATGTACCAAGTCCTAGGAGTTAGCACTACCTATTACTAACTGTGTAACTGAAGAGATTAAGTTACAAACTACAACCCAATATGCAAGTACATAAAAACCAGCAGAAAAATCATAAATGAAAGATTTCTTTAAAGTACTTACAAAATCTATTCTGTAACCTGATTTGATGTCTTCAAATTCTGTCACCTCAACTCTGGTCAAATAATGCAGTGCTTCCTCATCTTCTTCTCCCAGCAGTGCAGATACTAAAGACAGAATTAGGAATCCCACATTAACAAAGCTATGAATGGTGTATCATGGGAATCATGCAGGTGAAATACAGGGAATTGACAGCAAGAAGGATTTAAAACGCAGCACGCCTGTCCAAGCCAACCTCTTGCAGCCCACTGTTTGCAAATTATCAGCCAACAGACTATTGGCATTTATGTGATTTATACTGCTGAGGTCAAACCATGATATTTGCTTGTTATAGTTTAATTTTAAGAAGCAAGAAAAGCTCTACATGCATCTACCCTTCTCTCAAATAGATTTTCACACATGGCATTCACCACTCTACAAGCAGCCTACCAACACGTTTTATGGAAAGTCAGTTTACTGTCAGGAGCTCACCTCCAATTTAAAAATTAGCAAAACCACTAAAACTAGAATTTTTTTTTTGTGTCCTTTTTCTTAAGGGCCCAACTAATGAAAAAAAATCAGGAAACTTATCATTTGAAATACAGAAAAAAAACCACCACAGGATTTTCAGTGACCAAGATGCTCCTTTGAGCAACAAGTGTAAGAAATAAAAAGCTTGTAAAATGCACTCTAGAACAAAGGAGGAAGTGTTTGCATATGGAACAGGCTTCTGTTTAAACACATGTCCAGCAACAATTCTAGAAAACCCTGAAGAGCTGCAAGACCCATCACCAGCAAGAACACACTGAAAAAGAGGGCTTTTAAGAATATACCTTGTGGGTGGTTGACAAATGTTGTTACCCAGAAGTTTGGGATTTTGGCGATCAATTCTGACCTCTTCTGGAAGAATGGCTGGCGGAGTTTGTTGTATTTCTGTTCTACTTTCAAAATTTCCTCACTGGCTTGTTCATTCAGTCTGTAAAGACAAAGAGCCACGTTAAAGCACAAGAGTGAGAACTGAATTTTAAAGCCACATCAGCAATAGTTAGCCAAAAAACTGACCAGGTTTGATTAAACTAGTCTCCCATATTCAACAGATGAGGCATCTAAAACAAAAAACAGAGGCCCTAAGCCCATAATGACTATTCAGAAACACACTACCAGAAGCAATTTCACTGATCTTAATAAAACATTTCTAATACATCCTATGTTCTGCAACATTACATGAGGGACAGACCCTTATTTGTGCAAAGCAAAGTAGCTTTTACCTCTTAAATGTTTTGATTGCAAAAGACCTAAACACAGACAACACATAACACTATCACCTGCTCTTTTTAAGTTTTGAGCAAGCAAGCTCCAGCAAAGCAATTCTGGATTGACACAAGTAACATCTGAAGGTGCAATATCCAATTGGGTTTGGCTCCAAAAAAAGAGCCTCGATAATGCAACAGCTTCACATGGCCAGAGCCTCAGTGGTCATCTGCAGTCTTTGTAGGCCAGTGTGCACAGAGCTACAATCCAGGCAAATAGCAACTGAACCCACAGAGTTTTGGCACGTGGAACTTATGATTCAGTGATGCTTTCTAAGCAAATGAATATGCAAGTTTTTAAACGTATAATGAAACCTAACTTTTCAAACAAGTTTTTGGCTCCACTTACACATGTAGAAACACTTCTGCAAAAGAGCATACACAAGAACTTGAAAGCCCAATAGAAAATAAATCTCTAGTATCAAAAATATCACAATAAATTTTAAGCTTTAAGCTCAAGGCCTACCTTTTAAAATACCCGAAATAAAACAAGACCCCAGGATACTTCAATTCTTTTATCACATACAAACACCTCTTATATCTAATCAAGTCACCACAAAAGTGTGTCTTGAAAGAATTTAAACACAGTGAGAGCTACCACCGAGTAGGTTTCTTTACTAAATACTCTGACTTTTGAAAGTTACACTTCAATTTCTACTAAAGCATTCATTGTAAAAGCTTGCTCATTGTTACCTGTCTATTTCATTCTGTACTTCATCAATGTGTTCGATTGCTTCCTGTTGCTCTTTTTCTGAAAAAAACAAACAAAAATGCATCAAAATCCCTTCATTCAAGCCTGACAAATCAGCCGGGGTTTTGCTTAAGCCCTTTTCTAGTAACGTACTTCTGAATTACACGGATATTTCTACTAAATGTCATAAGTATTACAAGGACTTAAAGCTTCAGCTACTTCCAGGGTGCGCTACAGCTGAAGCACAGAAAAGTTTGACGAAACAGCAGTCAGAGAGAGTTCACCCTTAGAAATCCCAGTTCACATTCCCCTACACGGCTTTACAACTCAACTTCAATGAGAAGTCGATCATGACACATAAATAACAATTTCATTAAAAAGCTTTGAGCCGTATGTGCTAAGACAAACCCATTTGAAAGAACGTTAAAAAATTTAGAGAGACCAGAAAAATCAATAGAACGGGGACACGCCGCCTTCTAAAAAATGACAAGAACGTTCGACAGGACGGTTACAAGCGAAAAACCCTTCAAAGCCGCCGTTTACCGGGATTTTCGCACCGGAACGTCCCCTCCACAGAGCCTGCCTGAGCTCCGCGTTTCAGGAGCCCTGTTTACCTATCGCGCTGGAGATGAATGACCGGCCGCGGAAAGTCGCGGGAGCAGTGCAGCACTCTCCCTCCTCCCCTGTTAAGTATCCCGCGCGGCTCAGCCCGCGTTAGGGGACAGCTCTCCCGAAGAACGCTCTGCTTCGCCCTCCCCACGGCGGAGAAGCGGCCGCGGATAGAAAGCACGTGTGTGACCGGCGCTGGCAGCGGGCGCCGCACCGCAGGGAGCGAAGGCGAGTTTGATGGAAGGAGGAAGAAGAGCGCTGCGCCCTTCCCGCGGCGGCGGCCGCCGGGAGGAAACCCACGGCGCGGCGACCTTTAAAAATCCCTGAGCTGCCGCGAATCGCACGTGGGGCCGACGCGGGCGGCTCCATCGCCGCCCGAGCACCGCGTGGCTCCCCGGGCGGCCAGGCCCCGCTGCATCCCCGCGCGGCGGGGCAGCACCACGCGGCCGCGGCGGCGCGGGGACCAGGAGGCGGCGAAGCATCATGGCGGCGGCGGAGCACAATGAGGCTCCGCGGATGCTGCTCCGGGAGGGGGGGCGGGGGGGTCCCGCTGCTCCGCCAAGGCCGCAGCGCCCCCCGCCCGGCCCCGCCTGCGCCCGTGGGGAAGGAGGCCGGGCCGGGGAGCGGAGACAAAAGGGCGCTAACATGGCCTCCTCCTGCCGCTGCTGGGGCCTGCACATCCGCCCGGCCAACCCCGCGCTCTTCCCGCCTCCGGCCCGGCCGCGGCCCGTGTGGCTGGGGAAAATGGCGGTCGGTGCGGCGCGGTGCGAGGCGGAGGCCGCGGCGGCTGCCGCCATTCCCTTCCCGCCCCCGGCGCGGCCTCACCTGAGGTCTCGTCGGCCCCATCGTGGTTGGAGTTCAGCTCCTTCTTACTGACTTTGGCCGCCGGCGCCGACATGTTGGTGGCTGCGGAGCGGAGCGCGGAGGGAGGGGGGCTGTAACGGGACTGAGCAGGGGGGAGGGGAGGGGGGCCGGGCACAGACTCCTCCTGCTGCTGCTGCCACCGCCGCTCTGGCTCCCTCCGCCGCCTCCGGGGCGCTCCGGCCTCCTCCGCCCGGACCTGGGGCTCCCAGAGAGCAGGGGGCGGCAGCGGCACTCGCTCTGCCTCACGCTCTCCACAGCCAGCACCACCACCACCGCCGCCTCCTCCTGCTGCTGCTGCTGCTGGCGAGGGGCGGGCAGCGCGGCGCGCATGCGCAAGACCCCCCCCTTCAGGGCACTGGGGGGGGTGGGTGGTGGTGTACGGCGGCCGCAACGCGCAGGCGCACCAAGCCCCCCTCCGGGGCACTAGGCAGCGGGCGGCAAGACGCGCAGGCGCGCTGCGCTCCCCTCCGAGAGTGAGACCGAGAGCGCCGCTCCGCGCAGGCGCGGACACCACCTCCTCGCCGCGGGCGGGCGGCGCGCAGCCGCAGAGGCTCCGCTCGTTGGCCCCGCCCCGGCCGGCCACCCCATGCCGGGCTCCCATTGGCTGCGCCGGGCGGCCTCGGAGGGAGCGGGAGGCGGGGCTCGGCGCGGAGACACAGAGGGCGGCGGGAGAGGCGGGAGAAGGGCGGGGGCGCGCGCAGGTGTGCATGGCGCGCGGGGACGAGGGGAGCGCGAGGCGCATGCGCGCCGCGCTCTGTGCCCGCGCTCGGCTCGTCAGGGCCGCCCAGTGAGGGGAAGCGGACGGGGGTGGGAAACGAGGCGGGGGAAAAAGGGGCGTTTGGGAGCAGCGGTCTCCAAATGGGGGATCCCGAAATGGCTGCTGAGGGCAGCGGCTGCCTGTGGTGGCCTCAGCACCAGCCTCAACGCCTCGAGAGGCAACGTGAGGTGAGGTCGTGTTTCCACAGGGACACGGCGATCCCCGTCCTCCCTGAGCCGGAGCACAACCCAGAGCGAGAGCTTCAGATGTTAACGTTTTAAAAGCACAGAGGCCCTGTCAGTCACATGCGGCTATTGTGGGAGCACAGCTCTAGAAGGTCATAGAGCCCAGCCGCCTGCCAGCACACCTGCCACTGCACCAAGAGCAAGCAGACTTTAAATAACCGGTTTTGTCCCTTTCCTGTCCACCTGTCATGGAAGGGCTCATTGCAGCTTCACAGCTACAGATAGCTCTGCTTTGCTCTTAAAGTAACAGCTAAGCCAGTCTTTTCCATAAAAATACACAGCGTATCAGTCACAGATGAGTATTTCGATGCAGACCAGGCTAAGAAACAAGTAGAACTTTGATGGAGTAGGAACTTGCCTTTTGTGTCTGCTTTCCAGTCACACAAGACTACCATATTCTCCCTGCTTGCTTCCTTTTTTGTCTCTTCAAGTTGCCCCTTCCAATGGACTTACTCAACAAGGCCGGGATTAGTTTCTGCTTCCTCAAAGGTCTTAAGGTCTTCTGATGCCCACTACCACCTGCTGCTTCCAAATCCCAATTGCTTTCAAATCCCAATGGCTTTTTCTTTTGTATTCCCAGCTGTCACTTCCTACCAGCTATGTCCTTGCTTCCACTGCCACCTACAACGGCTGCTGCATGTCCACAATTTGAATTGAGCTTCCCCGTGCACACAGCAGGACAGGAGCTGCCATCCTCTGTTTTCCATACTGCAATGAACTCTCAGCTGCTGGGCACAAAGGTAAGCAAAGCATCATAACTTTATAAATGCAAGATTATAAAATCCTTCCCAAGAAGGATGTCCCAAGGCCTTCCCAAAGCCCATTGCAGTGAGAGAACATCTCTCATACCCTGTCTGCATCTCCCAAGATCAATTAAGAAGGGTATCTTCACATTCAGATCAGGTAAGCTCGTGTGTGTGGCTTGTTTTTTCTTCCTTCTGTTTCCCTTGAGTCTCTACTATGCAGTTGTATCTGTGTGATTTCTTTTTCTTCTTTTTTCACCTGTGATTTACTGTTACATTGTATTGCTCTACATTAGCCTTTGAAGGTCTGTAGTTTGAAAGTATGGGCCGTAAGTTTGAAAGTTAGTTCCAAGCAGGCACATGATCCAAGCAGCATCTGACTGCGCCCTACCAGAATCACTTGTTTAGTCTATGAAACACTAAGTATTCCTGAAGTACGGTATTGAGGTGATCCAGTAAAGTCAAATAATCATTAATTTTCATTGCTGTACTGTTAAAAACATTTCCATGATCTGTTTATTGGACCTTAAAACTAGCTATTATCAAGAGTAGATATTAATTATATATATATATAAATATTAAAATAAAAGCTTTCAAGAGAGATTTAAATTTGAGACACAAAATACAAACTTATGCTTCCCTGTGAAAAGGGAAACCAGAGTTTGATTTTTTGGAGGAAGTAGCATTCCTTCACATAGTTACTTTCCTTTTTGCTTGCTTTATTCCTTCAGTGCTGGTGATATGCTGGTCCCAGCTTCCTAATAAACCTTTTGTCCTAACTCCTTCTGTTAGAAAAGCTACGTCAACATCAATACATCTTCTCTGATTGTACATCCTTTCGCTCCAGCTGACCAGGTGCTATTGCTTTAACAGCCTGTCCTTTCTGCTTGTGAGAGAGCCTCACTTAGACTGTTGTACTGCAGCCTAACTTCTGGGTACGTATAGTAAAAGGTCTCAAAACAACAGGTGCTTCAATGCTTCTGGGGCTTGGCTAAAGGAATGTGACAACAACTCATAGAATGATGACCTCTCTGTGCTCTCGTTGCTTTATAGAACAATGAAGTAAAACTGAGCAATTGAGTTAGAGTTGTTGTTGAGCCTGAGGAGGGGTGGAGGAGAGATGAAGTGATTTACCGTTTGTTCTTGCTGCATTGTTAACATGTACACTCAGGAGGAATAGAACTGAAATGTCTGTGAAGAAACAACTCTCAACTCAGTCGCAAACTGTTCCTCTGTGTAGGTATCCCAAGCCCCATGTGGTTTCATTACAAGGGAAGGAAAATGTTATCTGGGTGGTATAAAGTCTTGTTGTGACATGAGTTACCTGCTGTTAAACAAGATTTTCAGAAATTACATACGATGCTTAGACCTAATATATAACTGTGTTTAATATCCCTGATACTATTAAACACACACCCCCACACCCCCACCCCCAAACTTAGAGGTTTAATTGATAAATATTCAGTTATTTCCTTCCAGTTCTTTCCAGTGTTTTTCATTATCTGTAGCTAACCTCTAAGGCAGTTTTAGTCCTTGAATAATGGTTAAAATGTACAGTTATAATCCTATGATATAGGGGGTGTGTGAATGTATTTAGAGAAGATGACATCCTTCTTGCAAGACCTTTCTCAGCTTTGATTAGATCAGATATAACAGAACAGTAACATTCTTTTCTGGACTATGCTATCCAAGTAGCTATGCTGCGTATATCAGAAATAGCTCTTTTCCCTCTGTACTACACAGTTAGCATTCCTGCCTTCGTTTGCACTTCAGGTTGCAGAGTTCAAGTTACAAAACCATACTGTATGTGGCATCGTTCAAACTCGGCACAAGTACTCTGGCATTGACACATCAGAGTGTTTGATCTTTGCAGCCGCCTGATGGCAATGACTTTCTCAGACAAATGAAAATGTATGTTAGTTTTCCTTTACATATACTTGGGATAATTGGGGCATTTGGCAGCAGCTGATAATGATTAGTGGCCTTACAATTTACATACAGTGTAGCAGTAACTGCACGTTTTTCTCAAGAATTGAATAAACAGAGCTGTTTCGTAAAGATCTAGAAGTTCAGTTTCCCCAAGACTTCTTTCCTTTGTTAGGTGTGTTAGTACAAGACAGAGACATAATTGGCAATAATCTTTAGTTTCTGGAATGTCAAGCTGGCTGTGTATTTTAAACATATCCCCCCAGTTTGGCAACTGAAATCAGAAAATGTGCTAAATCCTCTAAAATACAATGCAATGATGCGTGAAAAAGAAAGGGAGTACATTTCCTTGTAAGTATTTCTGCACGGCAAAATGGGCATCCATCAAATCATGCAAGTCAATATAATTAATGGTAACTGCCATTTTTATAGCCTTCCACCCCAATGAATCTTATAGCCTTTACAGAAATTACTGTACAGAAATATAAGCCAAGGATCATTTTACCACTGCTGAAATGAAACAAACTGCTTAACAATTGTGCATCTAAGCTGGGAGCTTGCTCTTTCACAGAGAATGCAGACTTAGGCTCTGTATTAGGAACAAAGATTCCCCCTTGGAGTGCAAGACCAAACTTTTTAGCCTATATGAAAGCTTTTAAATGACGGAGTACACCTGTGAGCTGAAGGCTGCACAACATCTCGAGCACACATAAGCTTGTACTTGATAGTAAAGTCTGACTGGCATATCAGAGCTTACCCTAAGCAGCAGGCAGAGCTGCTTTGCTGCGTGTAATCAGTTTGACAGCCCCCAGGAATTGCTGAGTCTCCATGACCCTCGAAAGACAGTTTGGCACATATATTAAACAGACAAATACCTCCCCTCCAGCTGTTTATCCATCTCCACTGGCCACAGACCTTCCCAGTTGAACACTCACATTGGAACTGAGTGGTTAGATAATGACAGAATAATCTTCCACGTGTCCTCACAGTTGTTGCAGTTTAAACCCTCGGATGAAAATATTTCTGGGCGACTAACTGCCTTTGAAGCAGGATGGTGGTTCAGTGACACAAACAACAGGCAGTGACTAATGGAGCTGAAGAAATCCAGTGATTCTGTTTGGATTTGCTCTTTTCTTCCTTTGGTAAAGCTCCCATTAGACACAGTTGCTAAACCGGATTTTTGCTTTTTCTTATACCAACATTTTTAACTTACCAGAGCACTTGCTTGTCATCTGTGAAGAACTGGATGGTCATGTACGCTTGTGCTCATTCCCAGATACTAGAGACAAAGATGCAGTCAGAAGATTCTTAAAACTCTTAAATTCAATGAAATCCAAGACACCTGAACACGAGACATGAGCTTTTCAGATAGGTGGGTACTTAAGAATGTTTTTCTTCTATTTTTCACCTAAGGTGTAGAATTGTAAATTTTGTAGGGAACCAAACTGATCTGTGCCTTCAGAATATTAGGGGAAGTTACTTACTGGAAAATTAAGTTACATTCTGCATTACGGAATTAAGAGTCCCTGCCCAAAGAGACAGTGGACTGGAGGAGTTTTCTGCCCTCTTTGACTTTCACTCAGATTTTATTTCTCAGACATTGATGTCCTGTTACTTGGCTTAGCTGGAGCCCTGTGGCTGTTAACTACTGATCAGCTGTGCCAACAGACACATGTATAGCTGCTGTTACAAATCCAGAATGCCGGAATTGTAGTTTGTAAAAGAAAAACTGTTTAAATATTAGCTTGTCCAGGTGTGCTGCTACCACTTCCAGATGTGAATATCTCCTCTTGCCTGAGGAGTTCACAATCCAAAGGCAGGATCTGAAATGCACAGCAGCTTTGTTTGAAAACATGTATTGGCACATGCAAACGTGTCTCTCCACTATCTGCAACACCTGCAGGGTGTTACAAGAGCAGATATTTAGATTTTCATGGTGCATTCACAGGAGTGGATGTTCAAAAGCTATCCATACAGATACAAATTCATTAGTTTTTAAGTCAGTATTAAAGTCTGCATTGAACCAAGCTTAATACAGCTACAGCTTCACAGAAACTGTCTGAAAAACAAGATAATTATTTGAAGTCATCCGGTCATTAAATGAGCTATGGTAGTGTTTATGTTTGAGGCTTCATTTTACTACATACCTGATATATTTACTACATACCTGCCAAATGAAAGCTCTAACCAGAAGTTCGTGGGAAAACTGACTAATTACAAGTATTCCTAGGTAGAAAGAGAAATCACAAATAAAGACGCTTTCAAACTGGAATACTACAGTATTTATACTTGGAGTTATTCCGGAATAGCTCTGCCAATTAAATTTTTTATGTAGAAGGCCCTGAAATTATTCACAGGGGAAGTAGCTACTGTCTATCCAGTGCTGCTCTGCCTAAAGAAAGGCTGTAATTTCCTCGCAGCTAGGGCAGAAGCTCTGGTGCTAGACACAGTCCTTCTAATGAGACAAGAGATATGGATAGAAATTTGGGACAGTTACAGTGTTATAAATTTAAATGAATGCTGAATTGAAGTTTTAGGAGAAACATTGAGGGTAGAGCACTGCTGAGGACTAGGAAAAACTGTGTTTCTGTGGGTTCTCCTGCAAGGCAACTTCCAGATGATCCTCTCCCTCTTCACTCCTGGGAGCAGCATTTCTACAAGATTTATAAATGTTTGCTTTCCAGGATTTTAACTCTGGCCATTTCCCAAAATTCTTATTTCTCATCTCTTCAGGAGTTCTCCAGCAGGAAAACTCTTGCTGAATCCTAAACAAAGTTGAGTAACACTTGAAGATTTGGTCCCTCAGGAATAGCAGTAGAGTTTTACACTATGTGTATTCCATCCATTGTCTTGTTACCAAGTGCCAGCTGGTTTTGTGGGAATCATTAAAAACTTCCCTTGTTACGTAGAGCACCATTGATACCTGAACTCAGGGAGAACCACCTCTGTTTCTATCCAGAAAATATTAGATGAAACTAAGCAGTGAAGAGCCAGTATGTTATTTGCAGTTCTGCAGTTTCAAGTTGGCATTGCTCAAACATCTGCAGAGTGTCTTAAGTAGGAGTACAGTGACAGAAAAGGTGAAACAAAAAAGAGGAAAATATGTAGGGAACTGTTATATACAGGTTTTGCTATAATAATACATTGTACACATTATTCCTTTCATCTGAGAAAGTCAAAGCTCATTAAAAAATCCAGTTAAATATTAAAAGCTCTGTGAGGAAAGCAATTATTTTATTGGTAGGTTAACTGAATGTCAGTCATTCAGACTTATTCCTCATTAGCGCCTAAACAGAACTCAAGAATAGATTTAGTCTCCAACTTCAGCTACAGAAAATGCTGCGCAAGTTGCCAACAATGAAGATCTGCAAGTGGAATTTGGTTAATTGTGTCAGTCTGTAGGAACACGTATTATTTTTTGGTATTATAATAGGTCTGGGAATCCCGAGAGTTCTGAGAGTGTGATCCCTTGTGCAAGGTACTGCCTGAACACAAAGGTGGTTCTGGTTTGGAGGAATGTAAAGTCTTTCAGGACATAGTTTGACAAACTACGTTTCAGTGGAAGTTCTACTTACACATTCCCCAGCACACATTACTTCCCTCTTCTCCTTCTCACTGTCCCTGAATTGTGCCAGTGCAGGGTTGAGGTTTTTTGTAGCCTCGTGTTAAATCGAAGCAGGAAACTGATTTCAATTAGAAGTAGTCCCCATAAACCCCATTTATTTTTAACTCAGACTAGTGCTTAGATCTGCTGCCCTGGTGCAGATGAACGAACAATGACACAAAGAAAGAGGGTCCCTTGGAGGCAGGAATGAACAAGGAAAGAGTAAGGAACATGTTTAAGTCTTGCTTACTTAGAAGAGTTATTTGTCAAACTGTACCCTTACCATGACATGGTTGCAGTTGTAACTGGCGTGAGAAACAGCAATTTTGTTGTCTTCTTGGTAAGTTTTGTTTAAATTAACACAAGCGAGTGAAATATATCAATAGACAAACAGCTGCTCTGCCACCTCAGGTGACACAGTGTAAGCTTTTTCAGACTAAGATTTGAGATCATTGGCAAAAAGTCATCCTTCCCCTTTAGGATTCAAAAATGACATCTCTCAGAAGTACACGAAGGAAATAACCTTTAAATTCCGTGTTTGTTTTCACAGTGGTATGGCTGGAAAATAATTTCATCTGCCTTTGCAAAGGGGGTTGGAGATGGTATAAAACAAAGTAGAGACCATTTCCCTCTCACCGCAGTCGTATATGTATTATCTGACTCACCACTTGTGGGACTCCTTCTGGCAGCACTGCTTTTATTGAAAATTCAAGCATGTGAAAATATTGTCTATTTTCAGGTTACTTTGTTCACTGTTTCGTTCAGGTCACTGTTTCTTTCCTTTAGAGGTTTGGAACACTACATTCAGTAAGTGCTGGATATTGCTGTTCTTAAGCCTTGTGAGAAGGACCAGCACAGTGGAAAGGAAGGGGGGAGGGAAGGGAAGGG